ATACGGCTTTGACAACTAACGTCCAACAACATTTTCAGCCTTACCGCATGAATGCCTATCGGATAGTGTCCASTAAGCACTCCTACGATGGCAGCAAGATTAATTTGGATTAGAACAAGTACTTCTGCAGATCTCTTGCCAGAAGTATCTCGCAGTCGCASAGGAACTGATCGTCGTTCAGCACCTGYTAAGTGTATGCGTGATCCATTGCTCCAGTTCTAGAACCAAGATCCCAATGGATACCCAACTCTATCCCATTACGATATCCGCTGATCCGCTTCGCAGTTTCCAACAATTCCTCTGTGACCAGGCAACCCAACGAGTCTGATGATACTGTAGCTTGACGCTAATTCTAGGGAGAACAGACACGCAACTCCATGAAAGGGGCTGCATTTCCTAGCGGTACATGTGCAGCCACCTTGACTCCTCCTAGCTTCAATCCATCCATGAAAAAAGCCCACTCGTCACTTCTCCATATCCACATCTACCTCATATTTAGGAATAAAAAAAGTAGAGAAAAAGCCGACACCATGCAGTGATCCAAGTTTTCAGGAATCCATGTCTGAATTTGAGTTTAAACTAATTAAATTTATTTATTTTATTTTAAACATATTTTAAAAATATACTTCCAAGGAAATGAAAGAAATATAGGTACAATGTGGTTTGTAATTTTTTCAAACATCAACAGTGGACACTAAGCTGTTGATACTCCAAGCCACTTAAGCCTGGTTTCTCACGCGACCTTTGCACGCACACACAAACGTATAACATAATATAAACATGGATAAGGTTTAACTTGAGTATTAACTTTGCAGGTATGTCAAAATTCGATCATCTTTTTAACTCAGGTGGCAAATTCAGGAATCCTTTCGTCATGCACCAACCACAAACAACAATTTCGACCACTACAAAAGTAAAGTAGAACAAAAGTAGAGTAGAATATTTATTTTGTCCCAAAGGCATAAAAACGTGTTAAAACCTTTTGTTTTTCTGTATGAGTTTCAGAGTCACATTTATAGACACCTATGTACATATATAATGACATACATATCTATATCTGTATTTAGCTACCTCTGAGAATATATAAAATTTGTGTATGTATGTGTGTACACCATTAGGGTCACTCTTCTATTTATAACTATTTCTTGGCCACAAATAACTGACTCCAAGTGCACCCAAGCCGATGTTTACTACCTTCACACATACATACATATACTATACATTCTTCAAGAGCAATTGTTACTTTACTTTTACTTAGTGGACATAACAGTAAATCTTTTAGGAAGGCACTTAAGCTGTTAAACTTTTGCCATATGTTAGTACTTCTTAGCAAGAAGTGAAAAGGTCAGCTGAGAAACGATTTACATAAAAATTATCAAAAATGTTAGTTCTATGAAAATTGAATAGTTCGAAACTTCTGTAAARGCTTTTTTCACACGAAAATTTTAGRGAATGCTGTCAAGTTCACAATCCTGGGACGTATAAAAGTCCGAGTCCGTAGCAAGAAATCAGACCGGTCATGAGAAACAAATGTTATATGAAAATAAGCAATCTGGTTTAGCATATGTAGTATATAAAGTTCATCCGGCGATTTTTACGGCAAGTGAAATTATTAAACAAAGAAATTATATTAATTTTAGTGTGCGAGATGGAAAAGGTCTTCGTGGATTCGCAACAAGCAAGTGTTTATGATAGGTATAAATTATTTAAGGAGGGACGATTCAATTGATAATAATCAATACGGCAATAAAATGAAGGAAATGGTGCTTAAGAATCGACGATCAATATTCCGAGATCTTACTGACCTCTTTGAAATATCGGAAGGATCAGCGAAAAATAAAAKTCCGATTGGTTCCAAGACAACTCAATTTAAAAAAAAAAAAACAGCGTCGCGTTAACCTCTATGAAACCCGACAACCCGAATGTCATGACACGTACTATTACTGACGATGAGTCTTAGAGCTATGTTTACGACCGGGAAACAGATGATCAATCGGCCGAATATCGTGGCAAAGGTGAGCCGAAATCGAACAAACCACGTCAAGACAGCGCGAAGTTATGTTTTCTTCGATTATGGACGTATGGTTGCCTGCTTCCCTCCGACCGGCAACGACAATACATCGTCGCATACTGCAGTGATTCTGCGTGAGTTTTTCGTCAAATTTTCATGCTGCAACCACCGACTTCTGGCTATTCAGCAAGCTCAAACGACCKTTCCGCCGAAACCGTTTTGAGTTCATTGAAAACATTAAACTTRCATCGCCGTACGCATTAAAGTCTATTCCGGAAACTGAATAGACCTAGGATTGAAGGAAATGTTGGCAAAAGTGTATTAAGGCCAAGAGGGGAATCTGATAAAGAAGATAAGAAGGTAATTTCTTAATATCACTTTCATAGAAACCCTCGTCCCGATTGACGAAAACAACCTTCTCTTGTAGTGAATTTTTCGCGATAGACAAGAAGAGGTGGTTCGAGTTCCTAACCATGAAGAACATGCGTAAAAATCAACCAACTGAACTCACGGAACTTCTGGCGAGGCACTATTGATGTATGTGGTTTAATGTAGTCTTGTTAGAACAAAATATCTCTCCTTTAGACCAACTCTGACAGCTACCTTCAGACAGTCCAATTCTAGTCAATTTTAGTCCAAACTAATAGTTTGGTAGTAGGGGAGCAACTCGTAGCAAATGACTCCCTGACAATCTCACCAAACACATAGCAAAATGTTCCTAACCCTTAAGCCTGCCGTAGCCAACTTTTTCATCGGCCCACTGCGATTCGAATACGACCGTTTTTACTTGACTTTTCCTAAGTGAATCACTTTTTATCAGCTGTAACTATATGCTTCAGAATCAGATCGATTTTTTTTCGATTCAGCGGTTCCAAATAAATTTGGGGCGCTATACCTAACTTCTGGATCAGATTCAACGATTCCCATAATTTAAAAAAATCAAAATTACCGAAGCGGAATTAGCGAGACACTATTCACATTTTCAGTCCCATAGCTCGCGTTTGGGGTTTTATCAAACCTGGTCCTGCAAATCTATTATGCATGCTCAAACAATCCTGAGTCAAGCAATCAAATCAAGTATGAAATTATTGTTCTAACGCAATATACCATAACCTGATCGGACTTATACAACCCGAGATACAGAATACCGAAACCAACTAATGGAAGATAATTGAATTTCTTATTGCTAGACCTAATATTAACATAAAGCTAAAAAAAATTAGAATAAACCTGGATATGGCCTGGATATGGATATGCACTGTACTCGAGAAATTATAAAGAAGTTACGCTTTTTGAACTCTTTTTTATCCTCACCTTACCTAATTTCTGCTCTATCACAGTTATTTAAAGGCCAGTGGAGTGACTATCCTGCGAGTATATATGTACATATGTACATACATATATATGTAYAAGTTTTCTCTTCGTCTTCAGTATGCAGCACGGCTTACAACCATTCTCATTATGTCGCTTTTTATTTCTCACGTAGTATTTTAGCAGCTTGTTTATTTTCGGTTGTAAAATGTTAATGCTTAGTTTCTTAACTAAAATGCTTTTAATGTTACCTACAAGTGAAATAACAAAAGTCACAAGGAGCGAGAAGTAATTCAATAAAGTAGTCGTGATAATAAAATGCAAATATACGTATAAACATACCTACATACATAYACAAATACATAAGTATGTAGAAAGTAATGGTTATCTACTCAAGCTATACTAGCACACATACAGATTTGTGGTGAAATGTGTACATATATAAAAAGTGGGTAAGTGGCTAGTCCCCAATGTATGCTCAAACGATGAATTCTTACATGTATACTTATACACACAAATATAAAACATTTAGCTTTTTAAGTCGCTATATTTTTTTTTTCTTTGCTACCTCACTCAAACCCAGTAGGTTAGATAGGAATTTTTTAAATCTAATTTACATAAATATCAACACAACAACAACACGCTCTTGGTCTGAGATAAGCAACATATTGCAGCCGATTGCAGACTGCCTAACCATTTGCCACAACTACCAGCAGGTAGCACTGAGGTATGAAAAAASGATGGGTACACGGCAGCCTTAAGAAATTGAAAAACTTTGTAATTTTCTAATTAAAGTGGGAAACTTGACGTGCTTTACTTTACTGTAACAATTTTAAATAACCATATGCAAAAGCAGAAAGTAAGGCTAACGTTGTGACTAGGAAATGCGCTGTTTAATATACAATTGATTATACATGCCTGCATATATGAATAGTAGGTAAGCTTAAAAATTTAATATTACAAACTTTTTGCAATATTAAACTTTAATTCAAAAGCTGTTGTAAGAAGTGTCATATTAAAAGCCGCCGAAACATGATTTTAGATTATATGACCAACGTTTAAATTATATAACAAGTAAAAAGATGAGCCTTAGCTGAATTTCTATGACAGCTTCATGATAAAGTACGCCAGTCTGAACTATTTCTTCGGTGATTGCCGGAGTTTGTCTTGCATAATAATCCATGCTAAATTTTATGAAGATACATCGTCAAATAATTGTTTTTATCATACAAGGATATGGTATTGATAGCGCAGTTTATGTGGTAGTTATTTTCTATAGTGATCGGATAGCGGCGCTACCGACAAATGCACAACTTCTTTAACTGTGGAGCTAGTTATCAGTGCCRTCTCAACCACCACGGATGGCTGCTAACCAGACAATCAGAAAACGGTCCTCAGTGTTACAAATTTCGTGGCAATCTTAATAAACACTATTCAGGTTATAACATAATCCTTTGAATTTCACTTGCTGACGGAAACATTTTATCTAATCTTATTTGTTAACTAAATTTTTCACACTACCTAATTATGGTATTTATATTGTACAACAGTACTCACAACCACACTTAACGTTTATTAGCCAATAAATTATTTAAAACAAATCACAAATGCAACACAAGTTATTTCTCACTGTTTTATCTATTAGAACTGAAAATACAATAAAAAAAACGGCTTATTATTCATTTCAAGAAATACGCATTGAAAGAAATCATATTTTAATAAAAGCAATTTTTTGTTAGCAGCTTGTCACAAAACACAAACATAAGGTCATATTATATAAGGAGCAAAAAAGCTTCTGTAAACACTAATTACAAATGCTAGGTAACAATTTTCTTAAATATTATCTATGTACATATTCGTTCTTAGTTAGCTACAAAATTCTATTGTCAAATAAATGAGAAAATCAGATTATGCCTCTTCCAGCAACTGTCGTTCTAGGTCGGTGCCCTCGTATAGACCCTGTTTACGCATAGCTTCCTTTAACTGTTGATACTCAAAACGTTTTTTGGACCACTGATACCTTTACTAGGCATTATTGCATACAATATAAAAATAAAAACCTTTGTCATAAATATTTCATAATCGGAAAAATAGCATACCTGCAAACCAGCCAATAGCMAAGTGTGCTGGTGAAAAATGTGCCAAAACCTACATGTGTCGACAGCCGAGTACGAGATGTGCCCAGGAAGGTAGCAATGCCTACCGCAACACCACCACCAATACCGTACAGATAACTATTACGAAAGCACGGTATTTGTGAAACATCACGTCCAAATACTTTCAGCTCCTGCAATTGCAAAATGTTAAGTGTTAGAAAATATAATTTATTAATTATTGAATGGTGTTACCCTTCTGGTTGGTTCCTCGTCAACCATTAGTCTCGGGTCATCCATATTTTAAACTTAATTAGTAAAACTACATACAATTTTCCAAATTAGAACAAAAAAATACACATTTCCCTACCAACAGCTGTTTCAACGATACTACCGGCGTAAACCGCACAGCTGTTTAATGATAATGCAGACCACGGAATTGATTTAAAAGACTTGTTTGCTGCTGTGACAATGGGCAATAAAAAAAATAATATTAATATAAAAGTTCAAAGTTTGCACTTTGAAAAAGTTCTTTAGAACATGAAAGTTATTATTTTTAGTTATTCGTATTTACTTTTACAATCTGCGCTTTGACCCAGCAGCATGATAATGCAGTTCAGGCAGCTGCTTTGGAGAGTTCGTGATAAATRAGTGCTGCCACAGGTATGTTGGCTATTCTCAAGAAATAATATTTATTTAAATATAATATAAACGTTTAGTTGCGACATAGGAGAATTTATTATATCATGTCAGTTGTTGTGTTGTTGTAGCGGCAAAATTCTGGCATATCATATCAGTCGAATATATTGGTTTATATATGCAATTTGTAATGAATTCAGTTTTCTCAATTTTGCGATTTTAAATAAGTTTTATTGCTGACTATGATGTGTCATAAATACTATACTCTCCAACAAATTTGACATTTGAAAATAAAAATACTGCTTTTTGATCACTATTTCCGAAAAGATATAATTTCCGCTTTCGCCGAATTAATTTACAATATTAATATACCATTTTAATTAAATATAATGCACAATGTGATCCGTTTTAAATTGTACCATGCAGTGAACTTCCAAAATAACCGGCTTGAGAAACCCAATCCGCGTTTTTCCATATCATACACTTTTTCTTGGGCAAATCTTCTAGAACCTAGTTTCCAGATACTATTTGGAGTAGGTAAGTTTTACACTATTACAAGTTCTGCAAGATTGTGTAAAAAATTTTTCGCAGCGCAGTTGTGAGCATACTCAATTGCTTCATTGAATTTTGAAGTATCAGTGGGAGTATTCTGAAATCTGTAGTCAAGATTCTATTTAGAGCAGATTATATTTATACTTTTGGAATATTTACTTAGTACGAAACCTCTGGCTTTACTAAATCGTCTAGAATCTGGTTTCAAGATACTATTTAGAGTAGGTARGTCTTATAAATTTGAAATACTTACGATACATCCAAGTTAATGAGAATTAGTCAACTTTTTTCCTCAGTAATGGCAATATATTTTAATAAAATTGCTTAAATATAAAGTGTTAAAGATTCCAACTATTTATTTTTCTCCTTCTTTTATTTTGATGCTGCTAGAATAGTATGCTTTTTCAGAAAGTGATCGATTTCCTAAACTTTGTTTATTGTTTATACGTGATTGTGTCATAAGTCATATAGTATATGTATATTGGTTTGTATGGCATTATGTAGTGAGTTTATATGATGTTCTACAGCGTAGTTTGTTTATGTAAATTGTTAAATTAAATAACCARTTTGGAAACAAAAAATTTAAAAATTTAACTAAAGTTTGTAAATTCATATTTAATTAAAATACCTTTTTTTTGCAGTTGAAGAAATTGTTCGTATATAATATATTAAATCGTTCAATTTATTAGTGTACATGTATGAAGTTATGTGTTGTATATGTGTATATGCGTTTATATGATGTACATACATATATTTTCTGTGTTGTGTTACGTTCAAGTTAAACAGAACAATAACAAARTGTTTTGTTACATAAAATTTTTTTGAACTAAATTGATTGTAATGCATTGTTAAAGATTGTGACACGGCATTTGGTTGTCATATATAAATACACATTTGTTGGTGTACGCCAATATGTATGTAGCATATTTTACATGCATTTTAATGCATGCACGTGTTTAATACGCGTGTAAGCATACTTGAATGCAATATATTTAGCGTATAAGTGTATAGTTTTATGCATGTGTAGTTTTATGTGTGTGTAGTTAATAAGTTTTGTTTTTATATATGCATGTATGTATATGGTACGTTKGTACGTGTGAATATAAATATTTTCGTTCACTTTCTGCAAGGCGCCACAAGAGTGGATAGAACTTATATATACGTACATAAATATGTTTGGGATGTGTAAGGATCGTAAATAAATTCTTTCTAAACGATAATATGGTAACTAATTGTTATTAATTTTTGGTTATATTGTTMATATTTGGAAAACTTTCGTATCAATCGTTTATTTCTAGACGCTTTCGTATAAAGATTAAAAATGGATAGATTTTAAGTTTTCGTTTTTCTTTTACTCTTTTGTTATACAAAGATGTAGATGTGTTTACAGTTACATATCAATTATATAGCTAATGACTATATACGAGTATATGTACTATTTTTAATATAACCGTTAGGTACATGCTATAAAGTAAATAAAGCATTTTTTCACAAGTAATATATATGTAAGTAGATGTACGAAATTAGCTTTGTGTGTGTGTGTTTTTGTATGTATTCAATTTATTTTGCATCACGTTTTTATGTAAATKCTTTTTAACATATACATGTATATATAATATATAAGCTTGATTTGCTTAGAGAAAGAGATCGTGTATTATTTTATAACATAATATTTCTGCAGTGTGTGTATTTTTCCTTTTTGTTTCTTTTTATATTGATATTTGCATTAAAAGCTATCGATTACTAAACTACTTTWAAAACGTCTAGGCAATCGCATTTGTGAGAGTTTTTGTTATGTTTTCTTTTGTTTTTTACTTTTTCTTTAGTAGACTTTTTGTACAATTTTCTTATAGTACATTTACGTGGTCATATATATTTATGTTGGCGTTTCTAATAAAAACAAAGCAATTTTAAAATTCTTCCCCAAATTCTAAAATCGGAATTGTTTTTGCCCACTCGTCGCGCTTCTTAAACGCAAGAATGTAATTTTCATTGAGATTTCGTTGCGTATTTACAATTTTTTTTTTTTTCTATCAATATTATTCGTAATTTTATAGAAAATAAATGTGAACTTCTATGACTTAATATTATGTATGTATATAGACGTTTTCGAGTTCGTTTAATAGTTACATGTAAAGGCATCGCAAATATACATACAGACATGTATTGACATACATATGTTTGCATGTTCTTAAATGTACACAGATAAGATTATTATTCATTTTTGTAAAGGAAATTGAAATTAAATGCAAGAAAATAGGCGCCTGGTAAAATAATGTGTCTATTAATTTAAAATTAAAATTTTAAGTTTTCTATAAAATTTCATTTACCAAATGTGGCAATAGTAAATTGAGCAAGAAGTGTTGCAGTTTTGTTTTTGTTTTGAAAAAATCATGCTTTAACATGCGAGTAAAAAATCTTCCCCAATTTTTCACTCGCCAGTTAAAGCGTTGCCAGTAACGAAACTGAAATATTATATKGCAAATATGAACGGTTTGTGTCTGATTATTATTATTTACTTTTTTGTGAAATGTTATATATATGTTATATAATCGTCAAAATGAAAACAATATGCAAGCAGCGCGTAGTTAGAGCATAACCTCAAAATGTTGACGTTTTTCATAAAGCGTACGCCTTTAAAATATATATATTTTTTTAATAACGCCTTATTACGAAGGTTTTTATGTTTTTTAATTTTTTTTTTTACCTAAACGCGCTACAAATCACAAGTCGCAATTTGGTTTCTTTTTTTAATTAATTCTTTTTATGTTAATTTCAATACTACACCGCTAGTTCAATCTATTTGAAAATATTTTATTTGAATATGAAATGTTTCAATATGCGTCTTATGCTCTATCGGAATATTAGAATTTTGAATACCATCTTATATGTATGTATGTGTGTATGAAAAGTCCCTAAATGTTTAAAAGTGTTGTACGCGATTTTTTAAGAGTAAAAATATTTAAGGTGCACAAATGGCGCTTGCATAGTATTTTTTTTTTTACTTTTTTTAAATATTTTTTTTGTATAAGTATATTTAAATTGATTTTAAAAATAAATCTATTTGCGCAAAAGACGTAGGTTTAAAAATAAATTGGGTATTTATGTATTGCGTAGTTGTATTTTTGTTTTTTTTTTTCTTGCTTTTTGGTTTCGTAAAATATGATTCCGAAAAATTTGCTAGGTATGTATTCAAAGTTTCATACTATTTGTAGTTGAGTGTGTAGGATTTGCTATATTTCTATTTCGTCCTACTATTGTTTATGCTATTTATTTGTTTTTATAACCGTTATTTTCTGTTTGTTCTGTAACTACCGTGTTTATTGTTATATTGTGCTTATCGCCCTTTTTAAGGTACAKATGTACATGCAATGGTATATATATTAAAAAAAATTGTTTTAGTTTTATTTTTTTAAGAAAAATTTTTATCGAAAAATTTGGCGTGCACGATAGCTCTGCAAGATTGTGTAAAAATGTTGTTTTAATATATGTGTGTTTGTGTTTGCTTACATTTGTAATATCACTAGGATAGGAAGATGAATGTCAGCGAAATATTCATTAAACTTTTCATGCGATTTTCTCGAAATAATAGTTTAATAACTTAATTATACAGAGTTTTTCTTTAAATTTAATGTAATTTCTGTTTTGTTTTCTTGCGCGARTTTAAAGCTAGTATTTCGTTTAATTTAGTTAAGTATCTGCCTTTTAAAATTACTCGCGATTTTTTACTATTTTTTATTTTTTATTTTTTTTAAATCAGTGTGAATATTTTTCTTAAAAATACGGTGTATTTATTTATTTTTTTGTTTTATATGTGCATATGCATATGTGCATACGTATTATTACATACACATGTAGTATAATTTTTATCTGCTACAAATAAATTATTTTAAATATGTTATTTAATTTTGGTGTTAAAAGCTGCAAGTATACGCGTTTATGTTTACTTTTTTGTTTTTGAATAATTGTWTTTCGAAGAAGAAGAAATAAAAATATGAATTTGTTATGCAAGTATTTTTTATCGTTTTTAACAAAGCATTTTTCTGTGTATTTGCGTTATTTCGTTTTTGTATGACATTATTTGCTGTTAAAATAAAGTAGTATCTTAAATATTTTTATATATATAT